GCTTAATGCAACTTATGTTGATGATGACCGTGTTTGTTGCCTCTGTTACGTACAAGGTAGATGAAGTATTTTTCATAGGAAAATTATGACATGTTTGTTTGTTTGTCACTAATGTGATATCTGTGTCGACGTCTTCCAGAGAAAGTTTGTTCCATCCGATGAGCGGAAGGACCAGCCGCCCCCCTTCTGATGAAAAGGTGTTATTGTACATTAGCGATTTTGTACACACCTATAGCAGTCAGTCAATGTGAATGAATGAATGAAAGAAATATATGAAGAAACTACTGTGAGATGAAACATTCTTTTGCGGCTTTATGTTTTCAAACTTTTGGTGTTGGTTGCTCTTTATCGAAAAAATGTTTCCAACATACTGCACAGTTAGCACAAAGTGTAGATAAACAACCTGACCCGATTGTATAACCATTTCTGTTTTCATGGACGTCGCCATATAGTCCAGCGACTTCTTCAAGTCAACCCTCCATCTTCTTTGCTGCCATGGACGGATTCCCCCAAAGTCCATGCAAACTTGTGAACAAAATGTCCCTGGACCATGTGAATTTCACACGAAAATTGGATCCACGGAGTTTGTGGTTCACCATACGTGTCGTCCTGGACATCGCTCCAGTCCATCTTTGATCTGAATACTCCGTCTGCCTCGACGATTGGTACGTGGGCATCGATGGAATCAGGCTACCTGGAGGATGCCAACCAAAACGAACAGGACGATTGGTATGTGGATTTTGTTTTCATTTACAGCGACTGACTCTTCAGTTGACTGACCACATGGGTGGCTGGCAAACTTCAAAATCCACTACACTGACACTGGGCTGTGCGTAGGTTAAAATATCCAAGCACGTGCATTGCCATGCTTGGAAATAGTGTAGAATTTCTGGATGCCCCGTCTGTAGTCCGTGCCATCCGTATCTCCAGAGCCGATCACGATCGGTACTGTTCGGATCACGGCAGGATCGCGATCGGGCAACCCGATTCCAATCATCTTTGATTCTGCCACCGGTGCGGACAGATACGGCAGGATCGTGCCACCCAAGAACGGAGTTCCACACAATCTTCAAACCAGACCAATCACAACTTGTTTAGCTGATCGACCCCGTTTTTCATTCAGTTCAGCGAGTAAAGATAAGTGTTTCTGGTCGGCGCCTATGGGCAGTACGAAATTTGAAAAGGAAAAAAACTATAACTAAAATGTAACATGACAAACGCCTTGAGGCCATGGACGAGACGCCGAAAACTTGATGGGAAATAGTGAACCAATTTTCTTCCGCACGTAATTCCTCTTGAATCATGGCTCCACGGAATTTGTGGTTCACTATATGTCTTCGTGTTGGTGCACATGTACAGAGTTGACCCTTTTATGAAACTTTAGCACAAAATATATCAGGTCTGAAAATGTTTCGATAAATAACCTTTTTCATGATGCTTGGGGCTGGGGTGCCATGCTAGATAGCAATGACGACCTAGATAGAGGCATCAGTCGCGCCATTCAGCATCATGGCGTCCTAGTCCAAGGCGTGATGCCATTTAGCTTGGCGCCTAGCTCGGGGCGTCATGAAAAATGGTCATTTTTTAAATATTTTAAAATCTAGTTCATTTTATGTTAAAGTTTGAAAGAAGCGTCAAATCTGTCCATTTTCAATCCGGCTTGATTTTTCTATCTGTACCCTCTACTTGTCCCCGACGTTACTGCACGTGGGCATCGATGGACTGCAGGCCACAGGCTGTATGGAGGAGGCAGCAGTGGTGGATGCAGGAACAATTTCCTGCTGTGGCGGAGGTTGTGTGGTCAATGAAGTACCATATAGACCTAGTATTATATATACATGGCATGTGTTAGGTACGGCAACAGCCAAACCTTGCCATATTGCTGGCTACACCACTAGGAGAGTATTTAACCAAAAACTACCACAATTCGCGGAAACGTGACAGAAAACTACCACTTTACGATTTTGTCCCAAAAACTACCACTTTATTATTAATCCGTGACAAAAAACTACTAAGTGTGAAAACTGCTCGCTTTGCTTGGGTTAAACGCGAATCTAACTGCCCGACCCCACACATAAACGGGCTAAAAATGCAATCGAATCCCTAGTTTTTCTTAAAAAAAGCAATCGGGTCCTCCGCCTCCTTCTCCTCCTCGTCGCCGGCCTCCTCCTTCCCCAGCCGCTTGCCGCCGGCGGACGGGAACGGCTGCTGCTGCGGCGAGTCCACGTCGGCACGCTGGCGGGAGCGCGCGACAGCGGGCGTGGCGCGTGCGCGCGCAGAGCACGCCGCAGGGCGTGGAAGAGGAGGGCGGGCGCGGCCGAACACGGCGGGGCGCGAGCGGCCGAGGTCGGTCGGGGTCAGGATCTCGCCAGGATCCCCCTCCTCCGCCCGCTCGGGGCCGCCGCGGGCGCCGGCGCGCCGGGCGCGTCCTCCAGGAGATGGCCGAGCGCTTCGGCTGGCATCTCTCCGACGAGGATGGCTGGGGCCTCCTCGGCACCTCCTACGGCAGCCGCATCCCGAGGAAGGCCGACCGGTGCCAGAGCACCGGCAGCGGCAGCAACAGAGCCCCCCGCGGCGGTGACGCCCTGTTCGACACCGGGGCGGCCGACCCGGACGGGCCGAGGGGGCACGCTGGCACCTGGTTTGTGGGCCCAAGCGGTCAGTTTTGTGCTTAGCGCGGGCGAAGCAAGCGATTTCGTGACTTGGTAGTTTTTTGCCACGGATTAGGGAAAAAGTGGTAGTTTTTCGCACAAAATCGTAAAGTGGTAGTTTTTCGACACGTTTCCGTGAAATGTGGTAGTTTTTGGTTAAATACTCCCACTAGGAGGCAGACAAAAGTCCAAAACGAACAGGCAGAATATTACCCCTGGCTAAACTGAAACTTGACCCTTTTCTTTTTTTTGAGGAAGACACTTGACCTATTTTATGGCAATTCACAGACACTTCAATCGAGTGACCACATGGAATTTGTCATTTGTGGCTGGCTACCTTCAAAGATAATTCGAAGCACGTGCTCTTGCCGTCGTTGGAAAAAAATACGGTTACCTCTGTTTCTAAATAAAAGTTTTTTTAGAGATTCTAATGCGTACTACATATAGAGCAAGATGAGTGAATTTACACTCTAAAATATATCTATATACATCCGTATGTAGTTTTTATTGAAATCTCTAAAATAACTTGTATTTAGAAACGGAGGAAGTAGTATAATGTAGACTCTCTGCAGCCGATCAGGATTGGGCCGATTGGGCCGATTGGGTACTGTTGGGATCACGGCAGGATCGCAGTGGCGCAACCGATTCCCTGTCATCTTCGGCTTCTCCCACCGGCCAACGTCAGGACCGAGCGCCACCCGAGCACAGAGCTCCACACAATCTCCAGGACCAAAACAAGCTGCCATGCTCAGACCTCTTCCAATGAACATGTGCTTAAATGAGGTGCTAAGCGCATTAAATAGCTTAACAACTCTAGTCCCCAATGCATAGTGCTTAGTAACTTGTTACTAAGTTGCCTTCATTTAATGAGTTAGCTACTAAACTCTTTCATGTATTGACGAGCTTGCTTCATTTAAATGTTCTACCTAGGTTCACGCGCTTAGAATTGGTTCTTCCTGGGATCATCAAACCCATCTCTCTCCTCTTAATTGTCTTGCCACATCAGATTTTTCGCCTACATGATACATTTAGCACCTGTACAAGGTGAAGCATTGGGAGGAGCCTTATAATTTTTGCAGCATTGCATGCCTCGTGGCTCACAACTTGTTTGGCTGTTTGTTAGTGAGAGAAAAACCGAAAGCGTTCTCGGGCGTACGCGGGTGGGAACACGAGCAACACGACCAGCCGTCGGGACCTGTCCTTGGCACCCTGGCTGATTTGCATTCGGATGTGGAGGGTGCTTGGGACCGAGGTCCACGTACAACGGTACAAGAGGCTGGCGCACGCGGGGTACAGGACACAACAATAATGCTAGACACACGGAGCAATACGGGCATCTCAGCGCGCCCTTCCTGATTTTCATGGGGGTGGGTCCCGCCTCACTCCTAATCTCCAATAAAAATAACGCCATCTAAGTAAAGTCCGTTGATTCCATAACCATAGGTCCGTGCGTGTAGCATTACTGTTCTGTAACATAGCTTTTCTTTCAAAACCAAGGCCAAACAAAAACAACTGCCTCTGCAACCATCTAGTATTTTATTATTCGATAATTGCAAAATATATATATTCTAAGTTCAGTACTCAAATCAAAGATTCTGTTGGTAACATGGCATTCAAATTGCGTGAGTCAGTCCCGTAGACCAAACTCAAATTGCGTGAGTATCAAGTGGATGTCCATATTAATGGTAAAAGCAGTAATACTTGGGCCTTTTTTATTTCACGGGATTACGGAAGCGTAGGAGTAGGAGAAAAATAGGAATATGTTAGGATTGCATGTGCAAATAAAGGAATTATGAAATCACGTGATTTTTGCGGAATGTCTTCTTGGTTCACCTGGATCGAAAAAAATACATGAATTCCAAAATCATAGCCAAATCAAAGTTAAAACAGGCGCAAAGGTAATATTAGATTGTCATTACGCAACTTATGTTTTTTTCCTTATTTGTTTATGCATAGGAATGCAAAAGGGTTTATATGGATCTAGAAGTTTATTTCTTTTTCTTTGAAACTCAATCCAGATTTCTCTATTTTTTTTACTATGAGTCATTCATTTGAATCCAAGAAGGGTGTCCTATTCTTATGTTTTTTCATCGGCTTTTTCTGTGAATCAAAGAGACCCTTACAGAAGTAAAGCAACTCTCATTGTATTCGCAAAAAAAAAGCAACTCTCATTGATTGATTTATTATTGATAGTATTGATGCCGCCCCCATGGAACTGGGAACGATCGATACATGGACAACAGGTAAATTACACACATAATCTGCAAGTACAATCAACACTCCGTGCGTGCAATTTGCATACATACGGATCCATTGAGCGCTCATGGAGGCTTCAATAGTTCGATACAATCAAGCGCCGGAAACGGCCGCCGCCGGCGGATCGACGGCGTCGACCTTGACCTTGAGGAAGTCGATGGTGCGTTCCCCGAGCGCGAACGCGTCCCAGAAGCCGTCGGCGAAGACCTTGGCCTGGAGCTTTTTGTACATCGCCGGCCGGTCCCCGTCGATCAGCTCGGGCGACGGCTCGAGCACCTTGTCCGGCTCCGGCTGGTAGAACACCGCCAGCGACACCCGCTCCGCCTCCTCCCCCGGCGCCATCACCCGGTGTACCGGCGCCCTGAACGCCGCGTTGCTCATGATCTCCATCTCGTCGCCGACCACGACCAGCAGCTGGTGTCGGCCGTCGCCCAGCACGGGCACGTCGACCCAGCTGCCGTCTTTCAGAACCTGGAGGCCGCCGACTTGGTCGTCGAGGAGGAGCACGGTGACCACGGAGTTGTCGGTGTGGGGCTTGAGCCCGTGCACGAGGTCCGGGCGCGGGCAGGGCGGGTAGTAGGTGAACCGCGCGTACGACGGCATCCGGTCGCCGACCTTGTCCACGAAGAACCCATCCTCGAAGCCCAGGCACCTCGCCATGGCCGTGACGACGAGCTTGGCCACCTTCTCGCCCTCGACGCTGAACTCTTTGAGGAGCTCGGCGAGGTCCGGCGGGTGGGTCGGCCAGAAGCGGAGCTGCCGCGCGTCGTCCGGCCGGACCTGGAGGTAGAGCCGGTCGCACCAGTCGAGGACCTGCTCGTCGGTGTCGACGCGGTCGACGCCGTAGCCCTCGGGCTGGAACTTGCGGCCGCCGTCGTCGGCGTCGACCACGTTGCTGTACTCCTGCTTCGCCTCCGTCGGCAGGTGGAAGAACCCCCGCGCGGCGCCGAGGATCGCGTCGAGGAACGGGTCCGTCATGCCGTGACCGGTCACCGCGAAGAGGCCCCAGGAGTCGAGAGCCGACCGGAGCTTGTCGGCCTCGCTGGGGTCGGCGTCGGCAAGGCGGCTCACGTCCACGGTGGGGATGGACGGAGCGGCACGCTGTGCGGCGGCGGCGGCGGCCGGGCGGCCCTGCTGCTCCTTGAGCACGTAGCGGCTCGGCAGCTCCCCGTCGGCGGCCACCTCCTGCACGAGCAGGCCCTGAGCTTGATGCACCATGGTGGTGGTGTTAGGCAGCACACTCGTAATTCACCACTGCGTCGTCTACTAGATAGAACTCGAGGATGGCCTGGAGCTTGAGGCGAGTGGCACCTCCATTTATACAGGCTCGCCTGGGGATGAGCTCGCTGTACTCAGACGTGACGTGATCGATCGATGTATGTGGTACGTGTCCACCAAACCGACTGGAGTGAGTGGGAAGGATATCGATTTGGTGTTATCATGCTCGGTCGGGAAGGGAAGGATGCATACTTACACATCCATCATTTCTTACGTTAGGCGCCGTATACAAGCGGTGCTATTTTTGGAGCCGCTAGGCATGCATGATCAACGAGGCTGGCGTAGGAAAATGATGGATGTATACTTCACACCCCTCCCTTCCACTCCCCTCCGCCACTCGAGCTCACCTCCGGCAGTTTGCGACCTTCTCCGCCATGGCAGGCACCAGATCAGACTCCGACCAGTCCGGATCCGTCGACTGAGGTGTCGTCCCGTGTGAAGTGAGTTGGAAGGATATCGATTTCGTGTTATCTTCCTCGATCGAGGAGGGGAAGGATGCATACACATCCATCATTTCATTTCTTACGTTAGGCGCCGTACACTAGACCTACGTAACCTCCTACGTAAACTTACGGTTTGTTTCCTTTCTATAAAACTAATGACCCCCCCTGATTTTTGAGGGGATGGGCCTGGGCCTCTTTCTAATCCAATCTAATTAATCCAGATCAGCTAATACGCAACTTTACGTAAGGGATTTACGTAGGTGTAGCGAAGCTCTTTTGGAGCCGCTAGGCATGCATGATCAACGAGGCTGGCGTAGGAAAATATCGTCTCCCATGGCCCTACCTGGACCGTTGGATGCGATTGGTTTCAGCCTCACGATTTTCTTCTCTTTACTCTCACGGCGTCGTTTCCTCCATTATCTCGTTTTTGACTAAATGTACCGGCACTCCATTTCATTTAGTAAGAAGAGGAGGAACCGGCGAAGTTACACTAGTGCAGAACCGGGCTATAGCCCTGGTTCGTAAGGGCCTTTAGTGCCGGTTC